TAACCACGGACCTTATTTTAAGGGATTTAATCAAACTCCCATTCAAAAAAACCACTGACTCTGGGACGATGGAACCGGAAGTGCTAAAATGCTAACTCGTTTCCGGGTTTTTGCCTACAAAGTGACGTCACAGTTCCCCCACTCTATGCACTCTAGTAATTAGGTGTGTTCGACTTCAAGTGGCGCTGCACAGACAGATCGGTGTATGACATGAAAGTACCATGAGAGCTATTATAGTGTTAGGGGAGGTACCATGCTCAGTGGCTCCATGATTTCAGCCCCGCCCAAAAAATCCTGAACACAAAAATGGTGAAAAACTGTTTAACAATCTAACTCCACAATTCAGTACTACATAGTTCACAGTCTTTGTAATGTGTTTCAGCAATACATTTCTAACATTTATAATTTGTTTAGAAACAAATCTCTGAATAGCCTTTAAACAGACTTTAAATACCATTCAACATTGCTGCTCCCAAGTCTTTATTTCATGTCATGATTTCAGATGTTTATAATTTTACTAATTTATGTATATATATTGTAAGTGATTATTTAGAATATTCTAGTATTTTTAGTACTACGTTCAATATTAAAAAAAATATGCATATGTATGTATAACATGTTAAAACTAGTCATTGTTTCAATTTTCTTTGTCAGTCAGGCATTGTTTTTTTATGAACATTTGTCAGACAAAATTGAAAGAATATGAGGTTGGGCCCCCTACCGCACCAAACAAACACTATATTGCCCAAAGTATTGGTAAAACTCAATAAAACAAAAAAAAACTCGTCGCCAAACACCAATGACTTGTACATATGCGTACAATCATTTTAGACACTTCCAAAACTGTGGCAACAAAGATGGAAATACAATTTTTAAATACATGAATTATGTTTCCATCTTTGATGCCACAGTTTTGGAAGTACTTTTTTCTGTTCTAAAGAAGGGAATGTCCCAATACATTTGTCCATATGTATGTACAAGTCATTGGTGTTTGGTGATGAGTTTTTGGCTCAAGGTCTGCATTTAAAGTCACACCAGAGGTGCTCAGCTGGGATTAGGACTTGGCTTTCTGCAGACCAGTCAAGTTCTTCCACACTGACTGAATCAATCTTTTTTTCTTTTCTTTTTTAACCTTGCCTTATACACAGAGGCATTGTTGTGTAAGAATAGAAAATGGTCCTGTTCAAACTATTGGTATAAAATTAGAAGCCCACAATTCCCCAGAATAGCATTATTTGTTTGTTTGTTTTTTTTACTAAAAATGTGAAATTACTAAAGTAGTCAAACCTGTTCATTAGAAGGGTGTGTCCCAATACTTTTGGCAATATAGTGTGCAAGCCAGCCTGGCTATTCAAAATCTTTGTCTGTAATTTAATAATATCGACCTATTACTATTGCTATTGCTTTTGACCATTAGGTATCAGTAACATAATTAATCCAGAACCTGTTTTATGGACATAGACTTTCTGTACCACACTATTCTGCTGATATGGAATGAGTTTGACTACTTAATCAGTTATATTAATAGAAATGCTTCACTGGGGCAAACAAAAATATCCTAAAATAATGAATAGGATACCCCATAGCAGCATTTCCAGCAGTATCCAACATTTCTCAATCATGATCTTACTCAGCTAAATGTGACTATTAGCTATATATTATATTAGCTAACAGCTGTATTCCTTGTTTGCTAGCTACCTATGCACATACAGCATACATTGTTAAACATTTTCTACATTATGAACCTTAACCCAAAAACCTTTAGCTTCATACACTGTAGATAATTGTGACCCTGCCTGTGGAAACCCAGCTAAAGTATTTTTTTTTAAACAGTGGATGAGTAATTCACTCCTTGATTTGCTTAATAAAAGCCTCCTTTGAGATCATTTTGACAGACATGTTTATTGTGTATTATTTTCAACGTGTTTATTGCTAAGTTTAGTGTGGCAAACGGTGGCAAAATAATTAAATAATAATTTGCCTGCGGTGTATCTGGTTGCCATGACAACCTCACACTCTTCCTGTTGCTGTTCTATGTAATCAGAGTATGAGTTTGTAGATTTTCTATAGCAAAACTAAAATGTGTTCAAAAGTGCAACTGACCAAATCGTCCGGCTCGGTTTGCCCCCCTTGAACTCGAAGACATCTCTGACAGTTTACCATCTGATCTCACTCAGTGACTCTAGGCTACGTAGGATGGGACGAAACCATGCAGTGAATGGGGGAGATAATTTTGCTGGAAATGCAGAAATAAGCCGTAATTTTGTTTTATTTGTAACTCTTTGGTAGATACATTTATAATTTCTATTACATTACTACTACTACTGTTACTACTAATAAAACAGATCTCTGGGGGCCCCAAAAGTGCGTGGGCCCTTAGAATCGCCCCGCATGTTCCTAGGACTAGGTTATAGTTGCTTAGTTATAACTCTGTAGTAATGTAGTAAAGCTTCAAATACTTGGATCTAGATGTATGAATGTTTTCCAAACCCTGGCATGTTAGGTTTCAAAATGACTGTCTTCTGATTCCCAGATTAATGGTGTATGTCACCATAACTTGCACCATACTCTTTTTTACCACACTTTGGCTTAATATTGTACAAATTCTCCAGACCAGCAATAAACATGCAAATGGAGACAAAGAAAATTTATCCTGCTCGAAATTTACGCCTTGTATTGGGAAACCATTAAAACTCCCTAACCCAAACCAATCATTGGTCAAAACCTTTGAGACAGACCCTCTCCAAGATTCATCACCCTTGAGTCTGACCTTCCTGCAGTTTTCATCAAGTAACTTTGTCGATTCGCTGTGGACTCTCCAATCTTCAGAAGAACCCGACAAAAGCCTCCAGATCACTCCTAACAAACTCATCAAGAACCTCCGTTGTCTACCGCATCCGGACTCCGCAACCGGTTCCAACTATTTCGATGCGTATCTAAGTTTAGGCCCCTTTTTTTAAAGGTGATTTTGATTCTCTGATTCTAATTAGGTTGTGGTTAATTGATGTTAAATACTGCCATTCTTTTGTTCCTCTCTCTCTCTCTCTCTCTTTCCTTACTTTCCTTCTTTCTCTATGTATGTGTTTTGCTTAGTTTAGTTGTATGTTAGCTGTAGTTTCATTTATTAAATTCCTTTTATTCACAATAGATTGTTGGTGTGTGCTGCTCACAATTCGCAGTCCCTGAAGGTTGATCTTGCTACATTCTAAGACTAAGAACAGCTTTCCTCCTCTGAGGGGTTGGCATCATCTCTTCTCAGGTGTTCTGGATCCAGACTGAAGCTTGTGTAAATCCTAGTAAAAACAGAGAATCAAATAGAGACATAATTAGCGTAGCTGCTGTTCCAACCAAGCAAAATTGATTTGTTTAACCCAAACTAAAGAATAATAATGTGCATTTGATCAGATATAACTGCAGTACAAGATTATGAGATGCATTATTGGAATGCTTGGCCAAAGAGATGTGTCTTTAATCTAGATTTAAACAGAGAGAGAGAGAGTGTCTGAACCGCGAACGTTATCAGGAAGGCTATTCCAGAGTTTGGGAGCCAAACCTGTTATTGTTAACAGGGTTAACAATAAGTTCCTCTTATAACACATGATGGACTGCATGAATGTTTTCTTTGAGTGAATTGATTTTTGAACGGACTCAGAGTGGCAGTAAAGGAATAATGTGCTCCATTTCTATATTAGCCTATCCTGTTCAACAAGTAAAGAAAGTCAAAAGTGTCAGAACAAAAGGTTATATATTTTATTTTAATGATAATCTACAATATCCATAAATACACCTACCCATTTTTGTAGTGTAGGCCTCCATACCATATAAGTATATGAGTTTTTGTTATAAAGTTTGTCTTACTTTGTATATAAATATAAAATATATTCATACAAAAGAACACAATAGTGGTTAACAAAACACCTGTGTGTATATTCATTTGTATAAGATGTTGCTGAAATGAATGCTCACAGTATGTACTCAATTATTTTAAAGCATAAAGCATGTCTCTGTCTTTAGGGTTAAAAGTCTAGAAGGGAAAAAAAAGTCTGAAGCTCAATGTTAACTGCTGGTAACCAGCCTCCACACAGCTGATTTGATACTATCTCTACCCACCCAGAAATGCTAAACCACATTTACATACTGTGGTGAGTGAGTTTTGTCAGGGAGAAGAGTGCTGCTGGTGCCATGTTTTTCTGATCCAAAGCTAAACATGACATTTTTTGTAGCTTTTCTGTAAATGTCTGTAGTAAAAAAAATAAAAAGAACAATAAATAAAAGAACAACCATCTCAAAAATATCAACCACTTTTCTTTCATTTTCCAGCGCCTGTGAATATTTCAGAACATTCTAGTGACAACTTAACTCATTTTACAACTTCATTCTCTCTGGCTCCACAAGTCACCCGAGAGAGGTCAAGCACAAGACTCATTCTGTTCCTTTAAAATCATGATAATCTCATTGCCATTCCTAGCATATTTCTTAGGTGTTCTTTATGAGTTCCAGCTAAAATTTTCTCAGCTAAACACTGATGACAAGATCAATTGTATTCATTCACATACTGTACTGTAATGGCATTGCATTTACATTTAGTCATTTAGCAGACACTTTTATCCAAAGCGATAAAACTCCTTTGTTCATGACACAAATGTGCAATTGTTTAAATTAAAGTAATACCTTTAAGATGAAGCATAATTTCAACAAAGTGTATTAGGCTTCGAATATTAAATGATTTTACACCTGATATTAAATGCAAATTCTTATTTGACATGACCTCTCTGTAACTCTTCACTCTGCAGACAGGTTTGTTCCTGAAGATCCTACTATGTGGGTTACTTACTAAGTATGCATACAGAATTTACAAAAGGATCTGTAAGTTATGGTTTGAACTCCCAACCCGGATTTATTCTGAGAAGTAGTTTGTCTTCCTTGAACCTTCGTTTACTTTAGTTTCGTCACGCAGCGGGAGTGTCATAATGTCGTAACCAATCACACGCTGTAGGCTACAGGTGACACAGTATCACTCGGAAGGGCGTTTAGTTTCAACCTTTTAACTTCCCTTGAGTCAGCTTTGCGAGGGCCTAACAAATACACAACTCCCTAAAAGTTCTCGTAACGTAATATAAAACCAGGTATATCGGCTATATATACTTTGTAGCATTTAAAAGAGGATATGTGGACCTTCGTCTTTGTTTGCCTTTCGATCTCAGTCACAGGTAGGAGTCCATGTTTTCAGTGTTTGAATCATGTTTACATTTCGTTTTTATTACGTCTTATGTGAATTGTTCAATATAAACTTTCGATATAAAAAAAACGTTCAATATTTAAAAAGATATATATTGTTAAAACATTCAATCAGTGTTTTCTCACTTTTATTAAATCAAAAAATGTATTATTATTTGCGTATAGTGGAATAGAGTTTAAATTTAGCATAGGTCTGCAAGAAAAGAAAACATTACTGTGTACCTGCCAAATGTGGCCTTATTTAACCAATTCTGAAACGAATCGTTATTTTGAATTGGTTCTTGTTTAGATGATTGAAGCCGAATCGGTTCTACTAGATCATATTCACGTTCTTAAGCAATGATTCATATGAATCAGTGAACCGAGTCAACTAAGAGCAGTTCGAAATGATTCGATACAGCGATTCATGCATAGCAAAATTAGGCTTATCTGCTTTATGGTACCCAATTATCGTAACATAAGTTTTGTGTTTAGGTCGAATAGAAACAGCATTATCATTGTATTGCTGTTTAAATGTGAAAGAAGACCTTTCACGGCTCGACGGCATCACCTGTAGAACCAGTTTTTCCATCTCGCCCATCCCCCATCCGAAACCCGAGCTCAACAACCAGGAAATTGTGATAGCTGAAACACGATCCAGAACGCGTTACCAAATAAAAACAATTAACAGTAAAGTCACACTGTATTTAAATAAGGTAAAAGTGATATATATTTTTATTATTGAGTATTAATAGTAGTCAACCAGTAACGATGACACACCTGTTGATAGCGTTAGCTGCGCGCGCACACAAGCATCCAGTTGAGCAGCATCAGGAATTCACAGTATCGTGTTTGTTTATACCTGTTAACCTCAAGCTCACATGGGTAAAACAGTTTCAGAACGGCAAATAGTCTGGAAAACTTAATAATAATGATGATTGAAGGAATTGTTAGAGCGACAACCGACAATGTTTGTGAATGAATACGAATCATATTGTATATGCATTCACATTTCATAACTAATGCATGCTGTTGTTTATCCGTTCTTTCTGAATAGCGGTTGTAAATGCCATAACGTCCTTTTCTGGGCTTTCATCTATTTTCATGTATTTCATCTGTCTGTTTGGTCTTGGTGACCCAACATAGTGCAAGCATGTTCTTTGGTGCCATGTTTGTCAAACAGTTATTTGAAAAGGGTAAATTCTGAAAACACAAATGTATTTCTTTAACATTTTCATATTTGAAAATATCTCTAAACCCCATTTGAGAGCAATATGAAACATTTACAGTTGTGCAAACCTAGCTAGGGTGTCTAATGGGTCTATAGAACACATGGGGTGTGTGTAAACCTAAGACAAATGGTTGAGGAGTAATAGGCTTCTTTAAATGCTGAAATGTTCATCCTTTGCATGGTTTCAGGAATTACATTTCTTTTTCTGAGCTGTCTAAATGAACAGGTTTCTAGGTCACATGTTGCTTTTGGTTGTTTTTGTCCTGATGTTTCTATTAAATAGAAAAATAAGTGGTCGGCTTAGATGAAGATGATGTTTGAGCATAATTTCACTCCGGTTGCAGCTGTTAATGCGATTTATAAGGTGTTTAATGTGATTAAGAATACATTTTTATTGATGTAATTCAAGTTTGAATCCCTCTCTTTCTGTCGACAGGCCTGCATGCCGATTTTTCAGTTACTGTTAGTCCCTCAGTAAAAGTGAAAGAGAATGAGGGTAAGTTACACGTTGCTTTTTCTGTTCGTTTGTCTTTCAATTATAATAGTTTCTATGTGTCAATGAGCAGCCAGATATAAATAATAAAGAAAATATAATGTAGTGCCTGCATAGGTTTTGAATAGTAATTTGTGAGGTGTTACAATTTACTGGAGAGCCTATCTCTACTGGCTGGACTAAGGAGAGGTCTGCCTGTTTTGGGTGATCCTGTTTCAAGCATTCAGATTTTGATGTGAAAAACATTTATGCACAAAGTATTGCTTTTTTTTCAGGAGTTGACTTGAAATGTTCCTACACCGCTGACTTTGGATCAGCACCCAGAGTAGAATGGAAGTTCAAGGATCTCAAGGGCTCTCAAACATTAATCTACTTTGATAACAAGCCAACTGGTATGGATAAAATCTTTACATTTGTCATCCAGTTAATTGATATAACCTTGCAGTAGCATTGTCATATTGTTTGTTGATGTGTGAAATGTGAATGGAGGAAAATATTTAGTATTGTGCATTATTTTTTCTTTCATTAGGTCAGTATGCAGGCCGTATCACTATGCATGATGGAGGACTGAGATTTAACAAGGTGACGCGAGCAGATACTGGAGACTATGACTGTGAGGTGTCTGGCAATTCTGGATATGGCGAGAATACCATCAAACTCACAGTCCTTGGTAAATCATGTAGTATTATATACATGAAAACTTACTACCTGATAGTTGTCACTGATATTTATGTTATAATAAGTCACAACCCTAGGCTTTAAACAGCAAAAACTTCTGTCATAATTTACTCATCCTCATATAGTTCCAAACCTGAATGAATTTATTTTTCTCTGGAACACAAGATACTTTGAAAAAAATGATACATAATAGGAAAGTCAGTGGGGTTTGGTGTTGTTTATTTAACAATGGATAGAATAGAATATTGTTTTGATGAAATAATGTAACACACAAAACAGCCTTTTTATTCCCGCTGTAATTTCCTCCACTACAGTGCCTCCTTCCAAGCCCGTATCCAGAATTCCTTCATCAGTCACAACAGGAAATAATGTCCGCCTGACCTGCTTTGATGCAGATGGCTCCCCTCCATCCACCTATAGGTGGTACAAAGACAACACTCCCCTCCCTGACGATCCAACCAAGTTCCCCAGTTTTAAGAACCTCACCTACAAGATGAACGTCTTCAATGGTAACCTGGTGAGTGTTCATCTACAATATTATAAAATACAAAATAGCTTATATAATAAGTGTGTGTGTATAAATTATGAAAGCTTGTTTCTGCCACGGGATAAAAAACCAACAAAAAAAATTATTTATATATAATAAAAAATAATAATTTTGACTTTGTATCTCACAATTCAAAGTTTTTTTTCTTGCATTTTTTTAGTTTATATCTCACAATTCTGTCTTTTTCCCCTCACAATTCTGATGTAAACTCGCAATCACAAGATATAAACTTAGAATTCTAAGAAGCCGGAAATGTGATTAATTGCAATTGCGAGTTAGCGTCTCAGAATTCTGACTTTTTCTCAGAATTGCAAGGTTATATCTTGCAATTCTGACTTTAGCAATGGAATTGCAAGAAAAAAAGTCAGTATTATAGCAGATGCAAACTCAAAAAAAAGAAAGAAATTGAATCCCGCAATTCAATTCGAAAAGTCGCTATTACCTTTTTAATTTTTTTTTATCCCGTGATGGAAATGGGCTTCCATAATATATATTCACATCAAATTACTGAAAAGCTTACATCAAAATTTCAGTACTACATATTTCTAGAACTTCTTTCTTAAATGTCATTGCGCTTGTCATTAATTTGAATAAAATTGATTTCTTTCTGTGATCAGGAGTTCCCGAGTGTGTCTAAGCTGGATAGCGGTTCATATTTATGTGAGGCCAGTAATGGAGAAGGCGCTCCTCAGCGTGGAGATACAGTGCACATGGAAGTCCGTAAGTCAGGGTTCTTGCACAGTATGCAGTTTGATTTTTAGTATTTTAAGGGTCTGGATAAGTATGGGGAAAAAATTGAAAAATGTTTGTGTTTTCAGACTATTGCTGTTACTATTCTGTTTTCTTAAATAAAAAATGTAAGAATGAAGAGAGTTCTGTGAAATGCGTTGACCGTTTCAGTTTACAACATGTTTTTGAAGTGTTAAGCATTGTAGCCAATCACAGATATGTCTGTTGAGTGTCTGAACACAATGGCCAATCAGACATGTAGTTAGAGAGAATCCACTCAATACCACTTGAAGCACTGGAGTTTTTATTTAGCACTATGGTACCAATAACTGAGAAATTTTACTGGTATTGGTACCTAATACTGAAATTTTGTTACTGTGGAAAAAACTATCTTCTAGTATTTTGATAGTATCAAATTGTGAATCAGTGCTAATTTTGACAGCAAATTTGATTTAGTTTTAATCATAGTCTTCTGACTAAAATGCCATTTAGTTTTAGTCATATTTTAGTCATCTGAATTTTTTTTTTGTTTTAGTCTAGATTTAGTCGACTAAATCTGCAGTCAATTTAGTCGGCTAAAATCTAATGGGTTTAGTTACAGTGCATTTACTAAGCATTTCTCTAAAACTTCCAAACTCATTATATAGGTTTGATATTAAGGTTTTATCACGATAGACACTGATTTGACTGCAGTGACACACAACATGCCTTTATGTTAAAATGAAATAAAACCACTTCTCATAAAGAACAAGAACATGGTCTTCTTTTTAATGAAATACAAGTTATTAAAAAAGGAACATTTTGACTTTTTTGATGACCTTCTAAAGAGAGAGAACCAAGTATGATTTTTTTTATATTTCTGGTATTTGCTTCTCTAACAGATGTCTTGATTGACTTGACTGAGTAATTTGTTGTCTTTTTTTAAATTTGTTATAGGTGATCTGAATGTTGGTGGTATTGTTGCGGGGGTTATTGTGGCTTTGCTGGCAGTGGGATTGCTCCTCTTTGGTCTCTGGTTTGCCAGTAAAAAGGGATATCTGCCAAGTAAGTTCTCACTGTGTGCGTGCGTGTGTGTGTGTGAGAGAGCGAGAGAGAGAGAGAGAGGTAAATTAGAAACTCAAAATGATTTGACTTATTTGCTTTTTTTTTTCTTTAATTTTCCACAGAAAAAGCAGAAAGGTAATAGTTTTGTTTTGTTATCTATGGCACACACAACCTCATATCTGACATATGATGCTACTAAAAATGTTCTAGAATGTAATAAAAATATAAATAAATGATCTCTTGCAGCAAGCCGAAACAACAAGCTGTTTATACACAGCCTAGAGCAGCTGATATGGATGATGGGGATGTAAGTACAACACATCTTGCTCCGTTGTATAAATGATATTAATCAGGAATTCTCTTTGCAATAGTTGATTTTGAATGTCCTTTTCTACCACCAGAATAGTGGTACTGGTAACATAATTATATTTGCACTGTTTTATGTGTCTTTTTCAGGGGGAATTCAGACAGAAATCATCTTTTGTTGTGTAGTCTGTGCTACTCTGGATGTCAAGATTCGGTGCCTAGATCAACTGTTTTCTGTTTGAGTTCATACAAATCAGGATCAATGTGTATGTGATGAGATGTGCCTCCCTGCCCAGCTTACCACACTAGTTGACCATAGAAATGTCCAAAAGCAACTATTGTAAATGTGTGTGAGAATGCAGATTTAGTTTTAGGAATCTAAATCCTGTCTCTATTTTGTAGAAATTAATAGAAATGTAATTTATTGAACTATGATTAATCTGTGAGTGGAACACAAACCTAAAGGGTTTAAGATCAATTCTTTATTAATAGAATTTGCTCAGATTATAATCAGTTGTTTAGTCTTGTATGGACCGAGATGTCCAATGCTATTTTTACAGGACTCTGCACTATGAGATGGAAACTTCTTGGGGAAGAGAAGGTACTATGAATGTTCCCCATTCAGGAAATAATGTTCCCTCTCCTTTATATAAACATTTGCTGTACAATGTACTCATTGATATGTTGTTTGTTTACTTCACTGGCATTTTTATGATAGTGTACCTTGTGTGTGTTTTTATGTGTTTTATACTTCATGTATAAAATGTAAATAGATTGTTCTGTCTTTTTATTGGTTTTTTTTTAGGATTTAAAATCATGCTTCATTTACCTCTGAATTATTAATCTGGGAACAAATTACTAAACTTTTTTTTTTTTCCTTTTGCTTGATTGAAATTTTAACATGTGACTTGATCCCATTCTTCCAATAAATGAAATCCACTGAATATGACTTAATAAATAAGATGTTGACAATACTCAAATTTTTTCCCCTCTCTTTTCCTCTCTTTCATGCAAAAAAACCCCAATTGTGAATGTTAAATTAAGCAATGTTATCTGTGGTTGTCTCAGCTGAACATTATGACTCTGATTCCGGGAAATATCACTTTTCACGCTGGCATATAGGAATGTGTGTATTTATTTCAACATTATTTCTAAACGTGTCTACATAATTTGAGGTGAACCACAATGTTCTGAATATGGCCGCTAGGAGGCAGTGTAGGACAACAACACATTTTACACAGCTTTGCACACTATCGAAATTGACTTGAAATTGTCATGGATCTAGGAGGCTCAACAGGATGTCTGTAACATAAAATTAAATCAAGTGTTTTGACTGTATTGATGATTTTAATAGGCTGATTTTTCTTCCAGAAAAGATTTAGATAATTACATTTGAAGTGTGTAATTTCAGTGCCACTAGGTCAGCAAAAATAGTTGTTTTCAGACAGGTTTTCTGCTCTTTGGTCAGATAAACAGTCCCGCCCAAAATTCAGAATTACTAAGTTTAATTGTCTCAGTATTAATATGACATAAGATATTTGTATTATAACAAAATATTAACAAACTGTACACAAGCTCACAGAATTTTCTTTTTAATATAATAGAATAAAGCAGTAACTATCAGAACATAAAGAGCATGTCAGCTATAATTAATACATTATTTGCACAAGGCAGCTTTTATTAGAGTTCATTCACCTATTTACAGAATGCATGAATTTTCAAGATTTGACTTTTTTGGGCTGGCCCAAAGTTGCTTATAACTAGTAAAGTAACGCATTACTTTTTAATTTACAAGAGAATATCTGAGTTACTTTTTCAAATAAGTAACGCAAGTTACTTTTTTTTTTCAGTTTAGTGATTGACAGCTCTGGTGTCCCCATGCTGTGAAATCAGAAGATGTTACTGTAGTTCTAAAATAAATATGAATATGCATTAATTCATCTCGCTCACAAAAAACAAACAGAAAAACACAGATTCAGTATTCCTCAAAATGAATAAAAATAATGCAACTCAGAATATGACGCAAACCTGCAATAATTAAATGTTAAACAACACAAATATCCTTTATGCATTTAATCCCGTTCTATTAACCAATGTCTTTGCTTCTGACCTTCGATAATCCAGTTCAACCGTACTAATGAGCAAAAATTAATCTAGACCAGGGGTGTCAAACTCATTTAAGGTTGAGGGCCGGATTGGAGAAAATGTCCCCTTGTGCGGGCCGAATTACCTTTTGTTAAACCCTAGTTTGCTCACAATTACATTAATATTAACCATACAAACTACAATATAATAAAAAAAAATCTAGGACAACTAGATGCTTGCTTATTTTAGGGGTGTGCAATATTGACACAAAAAAATTTTTTTTGATAGTGATAATTACCATATTTTGCAGAGTGTGTTTTTGAGATAGCACCTTGGTTGGTTTTTAAGCCTCTCATGGATAAATAAACATGACACTAAAGCCGCCAGTAGGTGGCAGCAAGTCTCCGTCTTAATGAGTGATCCATTGACTCGTTCATTCAAAACGGCTGATTCCTTTAGAAACTAAGCTAGTGATTGTCTTTATGAATGGGCCACTGAATCATTGACTCAAATAATTTGTTCAAAAACACAGATTAATTCAGTAACAAAATACACAGTGCTGCCTCGGAGACACACGATTGGTCTTACTTCGGCTTTGTTAAAAACCTTTTCTTGCCAGAACAGAGATAAACAGACAGCATTGTGACTAATATAACACACTTAATACTAGCATCTTGTTTTTTGAGCTGTTATATAAAATCTATTCATTTGCGATCGCGCTGACATTCGGGAAAGCAACACTCTTGATATAGTTAGACATTACTTAACTATCACGACATAAATATTAACAACTAAATTTCTTACAGGGCATTTTTATTTTTGCCCCCATATATTGAATTATATTGTAAACTGATAGCCTTCATCCGGCACTGAAAAACTCTCATGATGTGTTTGTTTGTTTTTTTGCAAAGTTACAAAGATGCACATCATTAAAACAACAGTTAGGATATTAGTACACAATAAATTTCGCACACTCCTCGCTCATTTACTGTCTCCATGCGAAGCTGTCCAGTGCGTCACAGTGTCGTTTAATATAGCACACATTTACCACAGCCACGAGTTGTGATTAAACATACCTGTCGGCGTTGAGATTAGGCTACTTTCTTTCCATTTCTCCAGGTCAAATTTCTTCTTTTGGACATGTTTAAGATCAGCAGAAAATTGCCACACAAGCATCAGTTACAGCACAGCTGTCATCATGTCATCCTCGTGCTGCTCGAGATTCTGGCGCCGCTTTAAAACGCGCATGTTAGGGGTCCCGAATCCCGAGGCGTAATATCAACGTAAATAAATGAGCCATTTGTTCCGCAAAGTAAAATATTGTAGCGAATACACTTTATTTAATTTTCAAAATGATGTTTTATTTGTTATTTTATAATATTGTTTAAATCATCCTGCGGGCCGGATTGGACACCTCTGCGGGCCGTGTGTTTGACACCCCTGCTCTAGACAAACATTTGTGTGTCTTATTTCATTGCTGAAGTGTGTTGAAATGTCTTCTTCTGCATTCTACTGTACGGACGTACATTTACTTTCCCTTCAGCCTGAGGCTTATTCATTTCACATTTGGCGTGAAAAGGCTTCTATATCTGCCAAAAATATAACTTTTTTATTTTAAAATCAAACAAGCAAACCCTGTCCAGATTTTAAAAGTAACGCAAAAGTAACGTAACGCATTACTTTCCATAAAAAGTAACGAGGTACCGTAATTAGTTACTTTTTTTATGGAGTAACGCAAGATTGTAATGCAAAAGTAACTTTCCCCAACACTGCCTCTAAGTCGCAGTCAATTATTTTCTTGTTAAATTTAAAAATGATATTGATTTGAATGGTTCTTTCTGTAATATGATGACTGAAACTTTGTTTCACTTATTTTGGCATTGCTCTTATGTAAAACATTTTTTTGGAAAGATTTGACTAGATTTATAATTGATAACATTGACCCCACTTTTTCTTTGTGCTTAGAACACGTTTTATTTGGTTTTAATAATATCCCTTCAAATAAAACCAAAGAATATTACATTATAAATTAAATTTGAATTTTTGCTACATTTCATATCCACAAGTGTAAGTACAGTAAAACCAATCCTTTCTTTTTGGTTCTTGAGAAAGAAATTCAAATTTATGTTAAGACGATTTTGTATTTACATAATAAGAAAGCAATTAAGACTGTCTCCATATGTAGGTCCTTTAATATATTTACATAATGTTTAGGACCCCCCC